CCTGTGAAGAGCGATGCTGAAACTATCCTTTTAGTATCCTTTGGACTCTCCAAAGGTACTCTGTGTTAAGATGCTCGGACTATTCCCAGACCTGTGTCCAGCTCTCAGGAAGGAAGACTCAGTACTTAGAATCATCATCCACCCCCTTCCAAGCCATCTGACAAAGCTCTAAAGGGACTTGAAGATCATTCGAGATTAACATTGTTTCCAGATAGAAGGCCATTTAACATAAAGGAATTGGCAGGGTCTAGTTGCCCACGGCTATTGTGCCAAAGTCAGAAGCCAAATCTGGAACTTGAAAAACCCAAGCTTTCTTCCCTGCCACATCCACTGGCTCTCCTCAGTGGCCCCCTGACTGATATTTCAGCATCACCCTCAGTAATGCCTGTGACAAGTATGGACAGTACACACTGTTCTGGGAGACACAGAAGGCTGTTGAGTCATATTGATGAGTCAAGGGAGGTAGTACTAAGACCGGAAAGGAGGAAGTAAGATGAGGATGCAGGAGCGGAAGTAACAAACATGATGTAACAACCAGTTGGAGTGTCTGGAGGAGAAATGTGTGGCTGCTGGTGGTACAAACTAAAAGGTAAGCCATTGCAAAGGGATCTCAAATAGAAGTTGAACAGCTCACTCTGGCTGAAGAATAGACAACGGATTAGGCACTCACAAAGCAAGAAATAAACAAATGTGAAATCTGGCCCAAACTGCAACAGGAGTGAATGAATGTGTCTGAGTAATGCTTGGAGGAAGAGTTGTCAGAACTTGGTAGTCGAATGGAACAGGGAAGGAGGAAAAGCAAGAATGGCATGTAGGTTTTGTTTGTGGGATTAGTGCATGCACACAGAGCTGTTGGGGAGGAGAATGAATCTGGGGATTGACTGACATGTTGAGTTTGAAGCACTTTCAGGACATATCTAGATAAAGCTCTCACTAACTGTAACCAAGTGTTTCTTAACATTCACAGCATGTGCAAATCACGGGCAACTTCAAACTCCTGAGGACCAACTTGGCCCAACACCAGCCCAGCCAGAATCTGTGAGACCTGCTCTGTGCTATTTGAGGCAGGGTCTTGTTATGTAACCCATGATGGCCTTAAACTTGGGATCCTTGTGCTGCAGTCTCCCTGGTCCTGGAACTTCAGGCGTGATCCATGATGGCTGGCATAATCTGTGCAAATTTTAAGTTTTTTCTGGTTATCCCATTGATCTTGCTGTCTTCCTGGTCTTCCTATGGAAGACCAGGCTGCAAAAATCCCTGTTCCTGCCTTTCATTGGAAAAACATACTTTGTTCTCTTGCTTTCTACATCTTTAAAATAAGAGTAATAATTTTTCTTACTTTACAAAGGAATTGTGAGAAATTACCAATTGGTAAGAGAATGCCATGGATAAAACATGCTAGGTTTCCTCCAAGCATTGTTTCCACACATTCTAGCTGTTCCTCAAAATGAAAGTATGGAAATACTTTGTGACTCAAAGAGACTTCTTGAGTAGAAGGGTCATGGGTTGTTTGAATAGGAATGGCCCCTATAAGTTCATATAGTTCAATGGTTGGTCAGTAGGGAGTGGTGCTACTTGACAGGAAGTAGGAGGTGCGGCATTGTTGGAGTAGGTGTGGCCTTGGAGGAAATATGTCACTGGGGATGGGCTTTGCAGTTTCAAAAGTTCAAGCCAGGCCCACTGTCACTCTTCCTGCTGCCTGCAGATGCAATGTAGGACTCAACTTTTCCAGCATCATATCTGTCTGCACATTGCCAAACTTCCCACCATAGTGACAATGGACTAAGCTTCTGAAACTGTAAGCAAGCCCCAATTAAATTTTTTCCTTTATAAGATTTGCAGTGGTCATGGTGTCTCTCCACAGCAATAGAGCAGTAAGTTCAGGAATACGCCTAGGTAAGGAGTTGCGGTACAGAGACAGGCCATTTCCTTAGAACCAACCATTCTCTGAAAACATTCTGAGTCCCATTTGGAAATACAAGGGCCACAGTTATTTTTGTGAATAAAACTGTTAGAAGACTTTTGTCTCCTTAAACAACAACAACAAAACAAAAAAACCTATCCTAAAGTATTAGTGTGAGTTTCAGGGTGTTAAAATAAGAGTTCTTAGCCAGGCTGTGACAATACATGCCTTTAATCCAAGCACTTGGGAAGCAGAGGCAGGTGGATCTCTGTGAGTTCAAGGACAGCCTGGTCTACAGAGTGAGTTCCAGGACTGACTCCAAAGCTACAGAGAAACCCTGTCTTGAAAAACCAAAAAGAAAAAAAAAGAGTTGTTTACCCAATAAAATTCATATTTTTCCCAAACATACCTTTGGGAAAGCCAAGTGTAATATATGTGGGCTAATGCTTTCTCTCTGGTTGTCTATGTTCCATTTTTTAGCACTAGTTCCTCTAATGGCTAATAGTGTAGAGTCCCTGACAGTACTATCAAATACACAGGTCACCCCACCACTCTCCCTTGCTTCTAAGAATCTGACCGCAACTGCTGACATATATTCCAAGACAAGATGGAAAGAAATAGTCACTCAGGTTCCCTATGGCACTATCTGGGGTCAGTTTAATGTCTTTAGTGCAAGTCATGTGGATGTTAAGATGTTTGACCCAAAGAGGAGAAATCTTTGAGCAGAGATAATGATAGGCCGTTATTCTTTGGGCCACTGAAGAAAGATAAGGTCCCAATCCTGTGTGATTACAATCATAAAAGAAATGGTCAGAGATGTAATTGAAGGCAGAGTGTCATATTCCTGGAGCATTTATCTCAAAGACCTTCTGCCAGACTTGGGGGGGGGCATGGGAAGGGCGGGTAGTGAAACTGCCCAGATGACTTTGACCTGCCTATGCATAAAGGCAAGAGATGTGTATCTTGAAGGCTGATGGTTGTGTCCAATAAGTGGAAAAGCTGCTTCCCTTGCTCTCTGAGCTCTTTCTTCTGTTCCGATTAAGAAGGCTCCAAAGGCTACTAACTTGGCCTTGAGACTGTCTTTCCTATTTTGTAACATTTCACAGTGGAAATTTTTTTTTTTCTGTAAAGTTACAGGGCTGGAAAAGCTGCTCAACATATTTTGGCCTCATCTTTTTGCCAAAAGGAAAATTAAGAACAGGATACTTGGCCCATCACAGGGTCCTTGAGAGCCTCTAGGGCTTCACTGCTCACGATGGTACTGCGAACCTGAAAGCTAGCCTAGCTGGGGAACTGAAGAAGTCACATTAGATTAGTAATGTCTCCCTTGTGAGGAGGCCTGGGCAACCTATGGGGCCCTGGGATCAGTGTTTATCCCTGGCATACAAATGGACTTCATGTGTCCATAACACAAAGAGGGATGCTCTCTCAGCCTGGACTCTTAGGGGAGTGCCTGGACCCTGCCCTGAGTGAAATGACAGACTCTAGATATCCCCTATGTGGAAGGAAGTGGGGATAGGGTGGGAGGCTGGGAGGACGGTGGGTGAGTGCGGGAGGAGGGGAGGGAGAGGGAACTGGGATTGACATATGAAACAAGCTACTTAAAATTAAAATAATAAAACAAAATAAAAAAGTAATGTCTCCCTTTGCTTCCACCCTGATGCCTGTGTCTTGGATGCAGAATGGATTTGCATTCAGTTTCACAGAATTTTGTGGGAAATGGACTGTATCAAGCGGCTCTCCTTATACCTCCCCACTCCTACTTTAGAACCTACTATAGTTAGGAGTTGCTGAGGGATCTGTTTTGGTTTTAGGGAGGAGAGAACTAAATGACCCTAGTCAGAGCAACATTCTGATGAGAATGCAGTATCTTTTTTCTTGGAATTTTGTCCCTATGTGTACTGAGCTTTGTTTATGGAAAGATGTCGTTGACCCTCTCACTGGGCACAGAACATGAACTCTGAGTTGTTTTCAGGGGTTGTTTGGGTTCATTACATGTGTTCCTTATACACTTTCAGCATGAACAGGGCTGCAAGCTCTAGTTATTATTTTGTGTCAGCTATGGTTTTGATATTTTACTCATGGTGCTAGACTATTTATCATCTGCCCAGTCCTATTTAGCTAAGGCAAGGATCTGATAACTTAGGAGATCAAGACCAGCTTTCAAACAAAAATATCGCCCTCCCCCCTTTTTGACAGAGTCTTCTGTAACCAAGCCTAGCCTCAAACTAGCTATTTAATGGAGGCTAGTCTCTGATCTCACCTCTCCCTCCCTAGTGTTGGGATTCATAGGATTAACCCATCATTCCTGGCTTCAGAAAATATATTTCTTTACTCAACCATGAATTTGGGGAGATGGCTCAGGCAGTAAAGTTCCTGCTGCGTAAACATGAGGAAGGACCTGAGTTTGGATCCCTAGCACCCACACAAAAAGTTGGGTGCAACAGCACATCCTTGTAATCCTAGCCCTGGAGGGCAGAGATGGACAGATCCTGGAGTCTGCTGGCCAGCTAGCTTAGCCAAACTGGTGAGCTTCAGGTTCAGTGAGAGACACTATCTCAAAATAACAGGTGGAGAACGATTGAAGAAAACACCCCATGCCAATCTCTGACCTCCACATGTGTGTGTACATGCACGTACACTCTCATGCACATGTGCATACACATGAACATATATACCACATATGCACACATGCCAAAAATAAGAATAAGAATTTCCATTTGGGGAGATGGTTCAACTAGTAAAATGCTTGTCTCATAAGTGTGAGGACCTGAGTTCTAACTCCTAGGACCCATATAAAAAGCCAGGTGCGGCGGCATGTGCCTACAGTCTCAGTGATGACAAGATGAGAAGCAGTGACAGCAAGACTGTCGAACGATGCTGGCAAGCTAGTCTAGCATGCCTGGGAAAGTTCCAGTCCAGTAAGAGACCCTGTCTCAAACAGGAGGTTGAAGAAATGACACCCAAGGTTGTCCTCTGATCTCTGATATGTGCAATTATACACACACACACACACACACACACACACACACACACACACACACACACGTGTACCCCACACCCCTTTAAGAAGCCCTCCCACAGGATTGGTACTTACTTTGATGTGGGGGTGCTTTGCAGTGGCTGTTCCCCACACTCGGGAACAACGCTCCTCTTTCCTATGCTCATAGAACTCAGGATCTTGTAGTATAGCCACCCTCCGACCTTCATACATCAGGGCAAACTTGCTGCACCCTTCGAGCCGCAACTTGTCATCCACAGAAACGGGCAGTACGATGGGAATGCTCATGTTGATGACTCCATCTATGGAAAGACCCATGTGATGCGTGAGTGCCAGATCCAAGGTGAGCACCCTTCAGGGATGGCTAGTGTGTGCACAGTTCCAAAGCCCCTGCTTGGGCACCAGGCCCAAGTCCAGCGCAGACATGATGCTCCTCTGGTTTCTCTAAGACTGTGATGGGGACTCCTTGACCGATTCCTGAGGTAGGTTGCCTCAGTAAGTGATCTAGTTTTGGGGGGCAGGATGGAGATATCTCATCTGACTTGATTTTTTAGTCCTGGTCCTGACCCTAGTGCACTATGAAAACTTCCCTTTTGTTGTTTTAAAGTTTGTTTGCTTATTTATTGTGTGTGTGTGTGTGTGTATGTGTGTGTGTGTGCATGTGCGCACACACACGTGCATGGATGGCTATACCCAGAGACCAGAAGGGGATTTCAGACTCTCTGGAGCTGGAGTTTTAGATGGTTGTGAGCCTACTAACTTGGATGCTTGGAACTGAACTTGGGTACTCTGGAAGAGCATCAAATATTCTTATACCACTGAGTTATCTCCCCAGCCCTAAGTTTTACTCTTTAAAAATCAAATAAAGATTGGACAAACTGAAAGCTGTTCTTGGTCTTGGAAATGAACCTGTGTCAGTGTTGGGCATTACCAACATAACTGAACTGAAAAGAAAGGTTAAAAAGAAATCACAGAGTTCACACCCCAGACAAGCAACAATCAACCCCTTGAGGTTGGTCTAGATGCAACTCTATCTTCAAATGTTTTCAGACACTGTTCATCTCACTTCTCTGGGATCACAGTCTTGCTGTCTCAGCTACAATGAACGCCATCGTTTAAAATACACTGGTGTAGGGCCTGCCTGGAGAGATAGATACTCCATGGGTAAGAATACTTGCTGTTCTTGCAGAGGAAACAGATTTGGTTCCCAGCACCCACACAACAGCTGCCACTGTTGTAACTCCAGTTCTAGAGGATCAGACACCCTCTTGTGGTATTCACAGGCATTGCATGAATGTGGTGCGCAGACATACGTGCATTCAAAACATATGTATGAAATAAAAATAAATAAATCACATGGGAGTGAAAAGTGGTACAAAGCCCCTTACTAAACTTTACTAAACTTGTGTGCACTTTCTCTAGAGAGTAAGACTATCTCACTGCTGCTAAGTGTCTAGAAGAAATTTAGAGGAATCTGGCTGTTCTAATTCCTCTGTGTGTGACAGAAGATACAAGATCAGCTGTTCAGAGAAGCTACATCTTTGTCACAGGTCAGCAGCTTGACCAAAAGAAGAGAAAGGAAATCTTGTAAACACCAGATATAGGACCTGGCAGTTAACTGTGTGTCAATGTGGCTGGACCCAGACATTTGAGCAAATATTCTCAGTGTTTCTGTGAGTTTTACTCTTCAATGAGACTGACATTTACGTTAGTGAGTCCTGAATAAAAAAAAATCATTCCCCATGATGTGAGTAATTCTCATCAATCAATGAAAGGCCTGGGGAAAAGAGACTAATTTCCCCAGAAGAGGCAATTCAGGTAGCAGCATGACTGAGCTAAAACTCTGTCTTTCCCTCTGACTCTCCAGCCTGCAGGCTGACCTTTCAGATTCTGAACTTGCTAGGCTCCACAATCACATGAGCCAATTAAAAGCAATCCACACACACACACACACACACACACACACACACACACACACACACACACACACACACACACCCTGCTCTTGTAGAAAACTCATGCTACACCACTTATAACCCCAGCTCCAGGGTTATCAGATTTCTCTGGTCTCTGTGGCCAGAGACAAATAATGTAAAATAAGCTTAAAAATTGCAAATTAATAGAAGTATCTCACTGTGGAAATCAAAACACCCACAGGTATCTCACAAGTTTCCTGATGAGGGGTGTGTGTGTGTGTGTGTGTGTGTGTGTGTGTGTGTGTGTGTGTGTGTGTGTGCGCGTGCGTGTTTTGGTGAGTTGGAGATTTAACACAAGACCTTTCACATGCTAGGTGAGCAGGGTACCACTAAGGCACATCTCCAGCTGTTTCTATGTGCTGTGTGAGTGAATAAGAGGCTTTAAAGATCATGGGGTTTACTTTGTTGTTGTCACTATGTTTTTGGGATGGAGTCTCTTGTAGTCCATACTGCCCTAGAACTACCAGCTGATAGACCTTGCACTGCTGATAGAGCTTCCTAGCACTGGGACCACAGGCTGGACCACCAGGCCCAGTTAAGGGGTTGCTGCTATTTTAATATGAAATTAGTCAGGTGTAGTAATCATGTCTGTAACCCCAGAATTTGGGATATAGAGATAGGATGATTAGGACTTCAAGGACATCCTGGACTATAATAGTGAGTTTGAGGCTAACCTGGGCTATCTGGGACTCTGTCTCAAATCCTCCCCCCCAAATAAGTGTGAGCATTTTGAAGAATTTTTAGATAAAATGGTTAAAAAGATGTAGTTGCTTTCCAGTTTGATGCTTAAAGGTATAAAAACTGGTTCTCATTTCTTAGTGATGCCAGACAGTGTGAAAACATGTAAGGCTGTGGCCTCTTTCATTTCCCTTTTGTACGTGTGTTCAAAGTTGTAACTAGTCTATCTTTCTCTCAGCTGTGCTTCCGGTTGAAAACGGAGGGCTCTGGTTCGTGTAACACGAAAGACTCAGCATTAGGTCAGGGTTTGGGAGAGAATGAGAGGAAGATCAAAGAGGAAAACCTCCAGGGGCAGAGAATATGGAGTCCTCAAATGTCAAGTCCTCTTAAGTGCTTCTGACCTGTAGAGATCTGAGTCGTGTTCCTGTGGGACAGAAAACTCCCTAACTGCTACGAGCCCAGTTGTAGGCAGGCATACCACTTTGTCTTCTTTAACTCTCTCAAGTTAGCAATCCCTAAAAGAATGTCACAGGTCAGACAGCAACTGCCAGCAATAAAGACATCCGGTCGCCCGTAAAAGCCTGCAGTGTACAGTAGATGCCATTAAAGGTTGCAAATTAGATGGCATACAGGAAGATTTTGTTGTTAGAGTAACTCTGCTTCACTAGAAGCCAGAGCACCCAGCCCTTTTGCAGAGAACCCCTAACTCAAAGCGGGGAGTTCTTGAATGATGAGTTAGCAGTGTGCGCCTCCCCAGGTTTCTTGGGGAGCGCACTGTAAAGTACAGTATTAATAGAAGTCTGTGATGAACTACAACTAAATCTACCAGGAAAGGAGAGGTTAACCAAGAGCATCATGGGATCCAGGGGTGCTCCAGTCCTAATGAGAAGTCATGCTCTCCGTGGGGAGAGAGGCCACGATGCTCAGTTCTGCTTACAGAGACTTGATTAAACTGAAGTAAAGCAAACTGCAAAGCAGAGGTCAGAGGGAGTGTCAGGAAGCCTAGCCCTGCCTGCAGCATGCTAGCAAAACTGACATCCTGAGAACACGTTGCTTCCCAGCTGCAGACTCTGATGCAGGATGAAGGACTCAACCTGGGGCCCACATGGACAGGAGTCCTACTAAGTAATAATGCCCACTGCTCCCATATGCCTGGGACTGCATCTCTTCATGGGCACAGGTATACTTAATTTGGTTCCCTATTGTCTTTCTCTACTCTTGGTTTTTGTTTTTTGTTTGTTTTGACAGTAGTGGGGATTGAACTCAGGGTTTGGCTTCATGCGGGGAGGCAAGTGCTCTACCACTTAACTACAGTCCCAGCCTTTTTTTCTGCTCTAGAAGATTTATTTTTATTTTTAAATTATATGTATCTGTGTGTTAGTGACTGCGATTGCCTATGTTAGTAAGAGGCACTGGATCCCCTGGAGCTGGAGTTACAGGTGGTTGTGAGCTGCCCAGTATGGGTGCTGGGAACCAAACTCCCACCCTCTGCAAGAACAGTGTGTGCTCTTAACCACTGAGTTATGTCGACAGCCTCTTCTCTGAAAAAAAAAAGATTATTTTATTTCATGTGTATGGGTGCTTTGCCTGCATGTATGTGTGTGCAGTGCCAGGGCGGGGGGGGGGGGGCAGATAACGGTGTCAGGTTCTCTGGAACTGGAGTTACAGTTGGTTGTGAGCTTCCGTGTAGGTGCTGGGAACCCAACTCAGGCCCTCTGCAAGAGCAATAACCACTGAGCCATCTCTCCAGCCCCTCTAGTTTTTTTTTTTTTTGATACATAAACATATCCAACAGTTGAGCTGTGCTGAGCATCCTCTGTGGCTTCAAACATTCCTTCAGCCCTTGGCCTTTCCCTTCAGTTCTCTTAAGAGTTGCCTTATTTCATTATGATTTATCTCATTTTGGAAGAGTATTGTTGCTTTTAACTTTAAGACATCCAACAGATAATGTCCTATCTAACTGAATAATTTTTTTTTGCTTTAAACAGTTGTCAATCCCTTTCTCTTTAGCACTGTAGATCTGTTTATTGGTTGCATAGGCTTTTTTCTTTCCAAGAAATGCAATTAGCATTATTACATAATTTGGCTTTTTAAAGGAAAAATATGATAAAAATAATATCAAAGATAAATGATATGTTTGGAATTTTACTTCATTCTGGTACAATGTAGAAATTTATAGTCCCAGTAAGTGTATATTTGTTTTCACTTCTGTAACTATCAATTATGATAGCTTGCAATTAAGTCCATGCATAATCATACATCACAAACAAACAAGGAATGATCATACACAGTCCAACCAGATATATTTACTTTAAATTGAATCTAAAATGAATTGCCTCATTGACTAAAAATGTTTTGCTAGTGAGACAAAAAAATTTAATTTCAAATTTCTGGAACTAAATGGGGACCAGAAGTCATTAGATAATCATAAATTTAAAAGAACTCATGAACAAAATGTGCAACGATAATTTAGAAACAAAGTTTGCTTATATTAGCTAAACTCAACATAAAAAATAATAGTTTCATCTGAATCAGAAATTTCCTGTTGTTTGTACTTGAATAATCAGAACAGTGTGATATGGTTTTACTATAACTGGTTGGATTATGATTTGAACAATTCCAGCTGCTTAATTTGGATTTTTAAAAATTACATCCTTAATAATTTTTTAAAAATTAATGTAACATATCTAATTACAATAGTTTAAGTACTTGGAGGGTGAAGTACATACCACGGAGGGCCACGCCTAGAGAAATACAAACATAAGAAACATGTTTTCAGGTCTCCACCATGAGAATCTTGAAGTAATAGTATTAAGTACATTCCTATTATGGTACTTCGCATATACCACATGCAAATATATTCTCAGCTCCTTTGTATGCACATGACACCAAATATATAGTAATACATTTTTTGTGGAATATTTTTTCAATGCACTCTAAAACATTGTTCAAAAGGAATATCTACTTGAAATAATTGTAAAACATGTTAGTCACTCTTCTAATTTCGGCAAGACAACCACATGGTTTCCAAACCAGACTTTGGGAGAGTGTAGACACAAACAGTCCTAAAATGTAGAAACCCAGATGGGATTAGAGAACCTGATGGGGTGTCTAGGAAAGTAGACACAAGTGTTGGAATTCTCAGAACCTAGATGCGAATTCAAATTCAAGTGAGATTTCTGCCCTTTCCAACACTTACTACCTCATGAGGACTCAATAGCTTCATGCAGGTTAAATGGGGTAACCTATATTAAATATATGTGGGGACCCTCATTCCTGCCTGGAAGATTCCTGATGAAGACTTTAAATAGTGGAGTTGTCTTCATCCCACTGAGTAACTATTGGCCAACATCTGTGACATTTATAGGAAGGTCTGTGAAAACCCTGAAACTACACTTCCAGCAAGAGAGAAAGTGACAGAAGACAGAAGACATAGATATGAAAATAGTAACTTGTAATACCATGAACATGAACCAATGGTTGCTTTGGGGGATTGTTCAGTTTTGATTTTGTGCTAACTAGACAGATGACACTTTTTAGACTCAGGGTAAAATGTGAACCTTTCAGGTAATTAAAGCTAACAAAATGTAGGAGACAGGGTGAGAAGGAAATCTGCTGCTTGCTGGTTGCAGGCGATTTACAGTTTGATGGTAGAAAGACCTGTGGCTGTGGCTGTGCAAAACATCTCAGTGTCCATGGTGGTGGCACAAAGCTTTGTGAGCTGTCTAACATGAGGTGATATCTGTATGAATGATAGCTCACTACACCTTCATATACATATACATATAATATATATACACGCTATATACAAATTTATAATATATAAAAATAATGTATATAATCACTCTGGAACTTAACTGTCTTCTTAGTCCAAAGCCATCGCACCAGGCATGTACTTCAAGGAGACTATGGCCTGGGAAGTGCTTTGGCTTAAAGTGATGGGGTAAGACATTGCTGCCATCGGCCTCAGAGAAGCTGACCTGTCTGCTCTACAAGCTCACTCCCTCTCCAGGATCTCTCTGTCCACAGCAGCTGGAGGAAGCCCCGGATGTGAGAGCTGGGAAGGGAGCTGTTGCTAGCCAATAGCTTTGTCGGGGCTGACTCAAGCTGACAGGACTCCGGATAAGCCACTTCAAATTTTCAAGCCCTCTTAACTGTCAGTAGTAGGGGTTTGTTTGTGTTACTAGCTAACTTGTCTGGGGCTTTACTATTGGATGAGCATTTTTTCTTAAACTTTCAATATCCCCAGGGAGGTAGGCACTGTAATTCTCATCTCCATCATACAGACGAGGGATCTAAGCCCCTTGAGTTGAGGTAATTGGGAAGGTTCATAGCTACTCACTGGCAGATTAATAAATCAGCCAGTTCCAGCTTCACAGTTCACACTTTTACCTGCTATTATATTCCACTTCTAGTTAGGACTTGAATTACAGGCCCGTGCTCGCTTGTCCTGGATCTCAGGCTCAGGACCCTTAACTTCCATTGACACTGACCCCAGCAGCCCCATCTACCACTCAGGCATCTTTCTTTATGGAGAAATTCCTGTACAAGGTGCTCACTGGAGTGAGTCTTCCTCTTTCAATGTGGTTCCCCCTTGTCCCGTGGTCACGTCTCCATCCGGGATGCACACTCATAACCAACATCTCGGATATGGCTGGCTGCTGGGTTGAACAGCATGTCCTTGGTGCAGCTATGTCCAGCATTTATCAAAATTAAGATATTAAGATTAATGTCTTATTTCCTGTGTAGGCAACCTGGCCTTCTGGATAGGAGTCCATTGGAAAGGCCAGCAGGAGGGCAGCCTGATGTAGAAGGGGTAGCAGACACGAACCAGTCTTGACTCTGGTCTTGGGGCCTCACCTCTAAGCAGTGTGAATGTGAGCAACTCATTTACCCTGAGCTTAGGTTCCTCATCTGACAAGTGGGTAGTTTCTAGGGATTTATGAAGATCAATTAAAACAGTACATGTTACAGCAAGCTAGACTTAAAGTGTGCTTTTGGCTTGTTACTTAATTTGAGAAACAAAGGCTTCTGGTTGTAGGGTATGCTCAGTTACAGTAGAGGATGAAGGCCTACTCCGGTCAGTCTGAGAATTCTGCTTCTAGGCCATTCCTAGGCAGCAGCATAAGCCCCAGAGTATCTTCCAAAGGCTGAATATCTGATTTGGTCCTTTCTTCCTATTAGACCGGAAGCTTTGCCCAGGATTATATAATTGGTGAGGTTCTACCAGCATCCTTCCCCACCTGGAAACCATTTCCCCATGGTCTTGGAATAGAAAACCCGTATCTGAGGACCTCAGGAGACTCCAGGAAGGGAATTCTTAGAGAACAGCCTGGGATTCTTCTGAGTAGCACTTGCTTCCAACCTGGACCAGAATAGCTTTTCAAAAACCATCAGCCTGTGGCTGGAAGGTTACCATCACATTCCCTTGTCAGGGTCCAGACGGCGAAACAGTTTTTATGTACGCCATGTAAGAGTTCAAGACTGACAATTTCACAGCCATCAAGGAAAACATACTCTGTGACACCATGGAGGAAGGGAGGTCCCTGTGAGTTAATAAACTGATGGGCTTGCTCCTAGATGCTCCCAAATGAAGCTTCTGACTATGAGATCCAGCAAAGAACATGGGATAGGGGGTGCTCGGGGTTGGAACATTTTCCTGGCTTCATGTACAAGTAAGGTCTTCATTTCTCAGTAACTTGGTAATAAATAATAAATCCTTGGAGAATGAAAAAAAATCCCTAAAAATGGAAACAGACACAGTAGAAGGGACACACTGTAAACAATCTAAAGATTGTTTCAGTAAGATCTGCAAACTGGGGGTTAACAGTCCTGTCTATGTGCAGACTCTTACCAAGCAGTAAGAGACAACAGACAACATACCGTCCAGCAGAGTGTCGAAGTGTATAATTTGCAAGTACTCCTTCTCCCGCATGAAGCCTTTGAGGGGCGTGGCCCAGCCTTCACTCAGAATCTGCACCCACTGCAGATCCAGCTGGAAAACACAGGAAACAAGGGGAAGTGTCCATCACCCATCTTTCTCAGTCCCCAGGATATGCCTCCCTATTCAGCTGGCGGGAGGGGGAGGGAAGAACCTTCTATGTTTTACGTGTCCCCACTTAAAACTCCATGGGCTTCTGAGTCAAGGGCCAGCTACGTGTAAGTCTAGAACTTTCCTATAAGCTGGTGATCACAGGATTCTGCATTGAGATTATTTAAATACTTTCAGCTGTAACTGTTCCCCCCATGTGCAACAGAGTTAAAAATTCATTGTCCTGCCCCCCTCACAACATGAAGGTTTGATGTACTTTTCCATATGATGCACTTTCTGGCCATTTGACTGAATTGAGCAAGCCATTGACTCTATGGTTAAGGCCAAAGTTGTTATCATGGTATGAAAATCTTTTAAGCTCTGGCTCCTGAGGCTCATGGAGGGACTTCCAGCTCCGTTTCCTCCCCAGTTAGGATCGGTTTGCCAACACTCAAGGCAATGTATGGTTGGAACCCACAGGCACTTCCCAGTTGGTCGGAGGATGAGGGCTACGGTCCACCCATCCTCTAGGCCACCTGCAAAGTTCTATTGGCTCTTTAAAACTCAACACACAGGTCACCGCTCTGAAACCTTTCCTGTCACCCCTGTGACCTGAGGAGTGACTCCTTAGGTTCTGAAGTTCTCTGCCCCGCAGACCATTTTGTTGTTGGAACTGTCACCCTGCACTGCTTTGACATGCTTACTTATCTGTCGAGGGTATTGGGATGCTTGGGCTCTCTGTACAGAACCAGGTCTTACGCAGCTGAAGCAACCTGTCTCATAAAATCTCTACATTTCTAATGAATAATAAAATGATAGCAAGAGAGACTTGACTGTCTTTTATGCACAAGTAAGGCTGATCCATAAAAATGCTACCAGCAGGTCAGTAGCTGGGGCTTCATTTCACCTCTTCCAGCTAATGAGGTCAATGCAAATGAAACTGCCATCCCCTTTTCTCAGGGGGAAGGGCACAATCTTCAGAGGAAGCTTCTAAAAGAACTTGTTCTTGCATACCTTGTATCTTATATTCTCCACACTTGACCTTGGTCTCCTATATGGCTTTGAGTTTCACAGCTGGGTGGCTATGGACATATTTGTTGGTGACAGTTTTATTTAAGAGGATATGCACAGAGCACCTCATGGGTGTGAGCTGATTGTTAGTGATAAACTTTCCCAAAAGACTTCTCTTGGACCTGTTGGTTAGTTAATTCTTGCCTGTGGTGGCTGTCACTTTGCAGAGGAGGCAGTCAGTTCTAGCCACCAGAGCGTGCTCTCCACGGTGAAGAGTCTAGAGTAGCATCTAGTCGGGACTAGTACCACTTTCCCAATTTCATGGACTTGCACGTATCGACAGAGCCGGCAGACACACAACAGAAAGGCTCACATTGTTTTAGATCAGGGTTGCTTTTGGCATTCCTGGCACCCTGCCTCTATTTCATCATACAGAGGCGTAGGGGAGCCATGCAAATTGTCCTATGCAAATATGGCTGTTGCTTTCTTGGTCAGAGAGGAGGCAAGAGGGGGAATGTCTTCATAGACTCGCCTTTACTGGATATTTCTTACGGTCAAAAGAAATGGTAGGGCTTGCAAGATGACTCAGTGGCTGAAAGTGCTTACTACCAAGCCTGATAACTTGAGTTTGATCCCCAAACACAGTGGAAGGAAGGAGGAAAGGGACTCCTGCATGTGGTCCTCTGACTCCACTCATGCAGTCACACACACACACACACACACACACACACACACACACACACACACACACACACACACACACACGGGGAGGGGGAGGCTACACAAAACACACAAATAAAGGTAGTTCTAATGAGGAGTTGTATAATAGTTTATAATGTCAGATACTAACCCTGAGTCCTAGCCATTCTGTACTCTCTTACCTTGGTAATTGATAATGCTGGAAGAGTCTCAGCCTCAGCTCGGACCTGATCGACTTTGTTTTCTGGCACAAAGAGTTCATGGATGCCCTTGATGGTGGTGTGGGGTACAATGTTCTGCAGTGAAATGGAGTTGGCAAGAGTCACAAATAAGAATGGTAAGGGGAGGGTTTTAATGAAGAAACTTGGGTTCTCTTTCAACAGTCTCTCTCTCTCTCTCTCTCTCTCTCTCTCTCTCTCTCTCTCTCTCTCTCTCTCTCTCTCTCTCTCTCTCTCTCTCTCTCTCTACCTGCTCTTGCAGAAGCTCCACAACCTGCTGCACACACTCACTTACTGAAGACAAGTTGGTCTTCAGCACACACTCTGGAGTCTCAGGTTTCTCATAATCAGAATCAATGCCTGTGAACCCTGCAGGGTACAAGATCTAAATCATATCTGTGCCTGAGGCAGAATATTCTCAATCAATAAGACATAATATGCACTGCAATAATATGTTAAACTGAAAATGTGATTTATGACTGGAAGTACAAACCACCATTCTTGACCTCTTGCTGTAGACAAGAAAATATACAGCTCTATTTTTAATATGGAGAGCCTCAAGCTAGCCATGATATCTGGCAGAAACCAAACCTTCTACTGCTGACTGGAATCCAAAAGGAAAGCAAGGAGGAAACTCATTGAAACCCATTCCTAAATCCAGGCTGGCGCATGTGCATTCTTTCTGAGCTTCACTCCTTGTGCCTGAGGTGCCATTCTTCAGAGATAAACCCCCACGTTTTAGTAGCCCCCACACACCCTGGACACACTGTGCTTTCGTAAGTGTGAGCTTCTGCAACTGTGACACAGGGTACGTAGCTTCAGACAGAGTTCTAAGGACAGTACCAGAAGATTGGCAGGGTAAGTGACCGTCAAAGACGCTGCTAGCTATCTCTCGTACCTTTAATCTCTCCAGCTCGAGCCCGTTTGTAAAGTCCTTTCACATCTCGGCTTTCACAGATGTTTAGAGGCGCATCTACAAAGATCTCAAAGAATGGGAGTCCTGCTAGCTCATGGATTTTGCGGGCATTCTCACGATCCTGAAAAGCAGAGTGTTTATAACTGTAAAATGCAAGGCCAGGGTGGAGAGGCATGCCCATAAACCCAGCACCAGGGAAGAAGAAGCAGAAGGATCCGCAGGTTCAAGTATAGACTTGGGCTGGGCAGCAGTGGCGCATGCCTTTAATCCTAGCACTCGGGAGGCAGAGGCAGGCAGATCTCTGTGAGTTCAAGGCCAGCCAGGTCTATAAAGTGAATTCCAGGACAGGCTCTAAAGCTACAGAAAAACCCTATCTCGAAAAAACAAACAAACAAAAAACCAACCAAACAAACAAACAAAAAACCCCAAGTCTTGGATACAAAATGAGTTCAAGGCCAAGCCTGAGCTACAAGAGACCCTATCCCACCAAAAAATGTTTGGTACTATTTGAATATGTCACCCAAACTTCATGTGTTGGTATTTTTGTTGGTTTGTTTGTTTGTTTTGAGGTAGGATTTCTCTTTGTAACTTTGTAGATCAGGCTGGCCTAGAATTCACAGAGATCTGCCTCCTGCTGCCTCCCAAGTTCTGGGATTAAAGGCATGTGCCATCACTGCCCAGTCCAAGTGTTGGAATTTAATCCTTGAGTGCATATATGGATGGTTCTTGGAGGTGGAGCCTTTAGGAGGAAATTGAGAGTAGTCTTGGTCATCAGGGAGGGATTCTGGTTATAACAAGAAAAATAAATTGTGGTGTATGGTGGGGCACAAACACAGTTTTAATCCCAGCACTTGGGAAGCTGAGGCAAAAGGATTAGGAATGAGCCTGGCCTGAGGATATACATAGCAAAATAACTAGGGGGTGGTTATGGGGGTGGGTGGGTTGGATTAGCCTAACTCTTGCTCTTTGTTGCATGAAATGCAGTATGAAGCTCTCATCAGATGCCACCAGGCGCTGACACCATGCTCTTGGGTTCTGAAATTTCCAAAGTCATGAGTATAATAAGTCTCTAGTCTTCCTAAATTCATCAGGTCTGGGGTTTCGTTATAGGAGAAAATGGGTTAGATCCTTCATGGCAAAATACAACGTACACTTGGGTTTGATAATCTCCAGACGTGTCCCTGGCAGAGTCCTTCCAGAAAGCCCAGAGATGTCACTCTGGTAAACACACGGAAAAACTTCCCACAGCAGCTACAGAACGCATCTCCTGGTTAGCAGAGCTTATGGCTCTTGATCCAGGAAGGCTTTGCTAGAAACTTCCTGCTTTAGAACCCACAAAAGCTGGCTCTTTGAATTGGCTGCTCTGTTTGGGTCACCTAAACATTCTCGTTCAGAAAACTGAAATAACAGGCCGGGGATGTCCTGCTCAACTCTTTATTCTGACCACACGTTCTTGGTGACAGTCATCCATAAAGGCTTCATGTCAACTGGGGCACTTACTTCTGGCAATGAGGCAACTCTCTTTATAAAACCAATAGCAAAGTCGGGTGATGGTGGTGCACGCCTTTAATTCAGCGCTCGGGAGGCAGAGAGGCGGAGAGGCACAGAGGGGCGCAGAGGGGCGCAGAGGCGCAGAGGCAGGCGGATCTCTGAGTTCGGGACCAGTCTGGTCTACAAGAGCTAGACAGCCTCCAAAGTCACAGAGCAGCACTGTCTCGAAAAACCAAAAACCAAACCAAACCAAAACAAAACAAAAAACAATAGCAAATAGAGGAAATGCAGGGCCCGTGAGGAGAGGGAGAAACGGGTGGGAAAGGAAAAGTCTGATCTCCCCAGCTCCGCTGGCTGCTGGCTGAGGGCCACAGCGGAGGGAGTGAGGAAGGACATGTGCGTCCATGCCCTGCACTGGGCCAAATCTTTTACCTTTGTGAACGGAGAAATGAAGCTGGTAATGCAGATCAGGCCGGCATCAGCAAAGAGTTTGGCCACCTCTGCAATCCTGCGGATGTTCTCTTCGCGGTCCCCGGGAGAGAATCCCAGGTTCTTGTTAAGGCCATGACGGACATTGTCCCCATCCAAGGAGTAACAAGGGATGGCATGGGACACAAGGTATTCTTCCAAAGCGAAACTTATGGTTGTTTTTCCAGCGCCAGAGAGACCTGTCAGAGCAGAGATGAGATGGAAACAGAGTAAGATGAAAAATGATCAACTCGGGAATTGAGGCACAGCATGTAATCCCCGTGTTCGTGAGGTGGAGACCAGACAATCAGGAGTTCAAGTCTAGCCTCTGTTCTAGGAAACCATTGTCTCAGTAAACCAAAGTCCCTCAAAAGATGAAAACCAATGAGATAACCTGGCACCATTATACTTAACTCTTAGTAATATTTTAGCTTTAAACAAAAACCATTAAAATCTGGAAAGAACACAAAACCCGAGTTCTTGCATTTATCTTGAATTTTGGAAGTTTTTTCAGAGCAACCAGGGTTTGTAAATAGGCAGACCTGGTGGCATAGATGGTGGACTTTTGGCCTGCAAACCTTTTTAAAGATTAGAAAGGTGTTCTTACAAATTGAGGTGCTGGCTGCTCTTGAGAAAGCAAAGCTGTGGTGACAGGAGATTTACCTCTTCTGGGAGCACCTAGTGGAGAGGGGGATTGGCGCCCAGAAAACTGGCAAGCCTGTGGATCCTGCTGGATAACCACCACCAGGCAACAGAAACCATTTGCTGCCCTTTGGCCGTAAGAGTTTTCAAAATAGACTGTCAAAATGCAAAGGTATTCATGCTGGCCAAGGCTGAAGACTTTCTGAGTTCTTAGGTGCATGCCCACTCTGATCCAATGACACTTCATGTCTTTATGTGAAGATAGATGTGCCAGCGAGCATACTGTATGATCAAGCCACTCTGTAATTTTCTAGGTAAGGAGAACATGGTGGTGGTGGTGGGGCACAAATGATCTAAGTACTCAGGGTCTGACCTACCCCAGAAAGCTTGCACCTTCACAGCTCACTTGTCCTAAAGTGAGCATGATGAATATTCCAAGACACAAGGCTTCAACTGCACAGAACTCAATGTGGAGAAGAAAAAACTGGGGGAGAAAGAGAGAAAAAGGCAAGAAGGCACCCGGGGATGGGAGGGTGCAGAGCAAAGCCAGGACAAGCTCAGGGGAAAGGGAGCATGAAGAGGGAGGGAATCTGCAAGAGGTAAATAAATTGGCCCCCAGGTTTGCAGGCCCATTTTAAAAGTCATGCTCTTGACTCTGACAGCGGACCATAGAAGAAATGTCCACTGTAGCTTCTGGGAACCTACTGAACCCCTGCAGTTTCTTTCTTTCTTTCTTTTCTTTTTTTTTGGTTTGTTTTTGAGACAGGGTTTCTCTGTATTGTTTTGGAGGCTGCCCTGGAACTTGCTCTGTAGACCAGGCTGGCCTCGAACTCACAGAGATCCGCCTGCCTCTGCCTCCCGAGTGCTGGGATTAAAGGTGTGCGCCACCAACACCCAGCAAAGTAAACCAATTTTTTTGTTTTCCTTCTCAAAGGGGTGCACATTAGAGAACATGAACTTCACGTGTCTGTCTCAACACAGAAGTGCTTCCCTGGTGAACAGCTGGGGAAGGCAACGGATGGCAGGTGAGGCATCTTGGGAATACAGATGTTCCTGCTACTACAGCCCGAAGCTCACAGAGCAAGCTAGGGGAACACCACAGGTAGAACGATAGGCAAGTCCATCGTGTTGGCACTTGGGGCTCCGTGCCCATTGTCTAACCTCACCTTAGAGGATAGATGAAGTTGTTTTGATGCAAACACCAGCTGTGAAGGAAACCAGGAAACCACAGGCACCAGGAAAAATTCAAGAATAGCAAGGAAACAAAACAAAATAACCCTGGGTGTGTATCACAGTCCTATAACACCACACTGAAGGGCTAAAGCAGGGGAATCATGAATTCTAGTCTAGCCCACGCTTCACAGTGAGACCCCGTCTCACAAACCATGAACAGTGCAAGCCAACAGTAGCAAATAGAAATCGGCAGGAGAAATTCAGGCAGGTCCTCCAGCTCTGTCCACATTCTCGGTTAGACTTTGCCTGTGTGAGCAGAAAATAGCATACACGCCTCTCTCACTGCCCGAATAAACATGCTTTTGTCTCTAGTCTCTTCCCTTTTTGGAAAGTCCTGTCTACAAAGTGAACCTGGATTTCCTGTTCTGAAGCCTGACTCTGTCACTGTCTGAAGCCTGGCTATATCAGCTATCAGTTTAGGTAAGAACTCAGACATGGGATGGCAGGGGTCTTAAGGCCTAATTACAAGTTTGTCATTAACCTCTAACTTTGGGACATGTGGATTGAAAAGGACAAGAAAGGGGACATTCACTGGGTCATCTCAATAACAGCAAGTTGTTTCTACAGGCAGAAGACAACTCTTGGCCAGGGTACAATTTCTAGTGATCCTTCTCACACAGATTCAGTTTGTTAGTGGAAAAGGCCCCCGGAACATCAAGACATCAGAAAACTAGCTTGAAACATCTGTAACCTGACAGACTGCCAAACATTCATAGTTGAATTAGGAAAAGCCCTTTTGTCATGACAGGAAATGGGTTTAGGAGTGATGATGAGCAGCTCCTTAGAGCTGAAAGAAAGTGTCAGTATTTGCTTGCCTCATCTTGTGCTGCCTGAGAATGGTAACTGATAGTCAGTAACCTCCCACTGCCCACCAGACTCTGGCTCTCATGGACAGGAGAGTGATGACGGACAGTCAAGCATCTACACAGCTCTTCAGTTCACTTCATTAAGCCTCAAATAAACATCTACTGTGTGTAATATGCCACCCCGGGTTCCTTATAATCATATCAAACATCAATTTTCCATCTTAAAAACGGTACCTGGAAAAGTGTGTGCGTGTATGTGTGTGTGTGTGTGTGTGTGTGTGTGTGTGTGTGTGTGTGTATACCTGTTAGCCACACGGTACATCCTCGGAATCCTCCCCTGGTTCCAACCACCTGTCCTCTCTTATTCCTGCTCACATGATGGGCCTGGTAGACCACATTGGTGGATTTTTGCTGATCCTACAAAAGAAGATAAGATTGAGCATAATATTTGATTAGTAAATTGCATATGCTTTGCATGGATCATATACATGTATTTTGACTTTAAATTGCAGAGTTGAAGTATGCATGTAACATGGGAAAAGTCCCACCCTCATCGCCCAGTGTTTGAACTTTTTCCATCCCACTCATTTATCTACACATAAGTCAGGAGAATTTTCATTTCCACAAAATAATTAATTTTGAAGTACTATATAATATTACAGTGACTCATAGAATGCAGTCTGCTATATAACTAACAGAATTATGTCTCTGGCCTTCCCCAGCTAGAACTTGAAAATAGAGTACCAGTCATTAATGTTACTAGTTTGTCTGAACTCTGCTTTTAGAATAACCTCCATGCCCTTTTCAGACTACCCAAGTAGTCTGTCATAACTGATTCCATGACAGTTAAAATTAGGTACCTTCTGTAGGAGGTGGAGGGCAGTTAAAATTGGGTACCTTCTGTAGGAGGCAGAGGGAAATGTCTGCAGCTTTAAATGTCTCTTGGGCTTGAATAATAACAACCAAATATCCCAGCAGCAAGGGGAATTCTAGAGAGGGTGATTTGACCCATTCTGTACCTATGGAGATAGTGACATGACAAAGTCTTAGCCAAGCCAAAGCCAGATGTGGTAGCTTACACCTGTTATTCCTGGGAGGCTGAGGCAGGAGGGTTGCCTGGAATTTGAGGCCAGCCTGGGCTACATAATGAGTTTCAGATCATCCTGTGCTATAGTGTGAAATGTCTCAAAAAGAAAAGAAAGCAAACCAACATGGCTCCTCCCTATCTAGCCAGCAGTGAGCCTGTAAGAGTTTAGTCTTTAAACACAGTGGCTACTGCCTCAAGAGAACTAAACTCTGTTTCTTCTACTTTCCTAGGGTCAACATGTAACCTTTAAGGTCCCCAAGAGAAATCAAAATGTACTAGTTATGAGGCATGGAGGCTAGTTCACACACCACACACCTGCATTCGTGTTATAGTAACATTAGTCTAGCTAGGTAACAGATTATCAGATCTTGTAAATTCTGATTGGAAGGTAAAATGTCTAATTAATAGTAAAAGGTTAAATAATACAGTAAGCACAGTTTGGGGTGGACATTTATACAATATAACCTATTATTCAGGAGAGAAAGAAACTATAAGCAAATTAACAGATTTGGGACTATCTGTGATGTAGTAATTTCTGAATTGTAAACATCTATTCTCTCTGCTTGTCTGTCTGTCTCTGTCTCTTTCTCTTCCTGTGTGCCTTTCTCTTTGTCTGTTTTTCTCTGTCTCTTTCATGTGTCTATTTTATTTACTCTTTCAGAAATCATATATGTATGCAATTAAACATCATGTCCACCCCTATTTCCCTCTTCCAAATTCCAATTCCCCCAAGCACACTTCCCTCACAACTTCATGTCTTTCTTCCTTCCTTTCTTCCTTCCCTTCTTCCTTCCTTCTTTCCTTCCTTCCACAGCCCACTTCCCATATAGTACATCAGTATGGGGCCATCCAATGGAGCATGGATGAGTGTCCACATCCCCAAAGGATAATACTTCTTGTCGTGGAACAATCTTTTTGTACACTGTGGATATTTGTTGCTCTCATTGATCTAATAAAGGTCTAAATGGTCGATAGTTAGGCAGGTAGAGGTTAGGTGGGACTTGGGGATAAAAAGAGAGTTCCAGGAAGAGGGAGTCATGAGGAGTTACCAGGAGATGTGGAGAGAAGCAAGATGAACATGCCGTGCTGAAAAAAGGTACCTCTACATGGCAGAGTGTAGATAAGAAATGTGGGACAATTTAAGTCATAAGAGCTAGTTAGTAACAAGCCTAAGCTGTCAACCAAGCACTTATACTTAATATTAAATCTCTGTATGGTTATTTGGGAGTTGGCAGTCCGAATGAAAAACTGCCTACAGATTCTTTTTCCTTAGCATCTGTCAATAGCCAATCGCTCCTCAGCCTGACTGCTTTCATCTTGTGCAGGTAACCAGGGCTGCTATGAGTTCATGAGTGCAATAGTCATATCCAGAGGAATACATTTCTCCTCCCAACCCTCCAGATTTTTCATTCTTTCTGCCTTCTCTTCTGGTACTTGATGGGGGAAGTCCTTCTGAATATATGTTTGCCCTATTGGTTGATAAATAAAGCACTGTTGGCCAATAGGGAAGCAAGATAGGTGTGACTAAAAGGAGGATTCTGGGAAATGCAGTCAAGAGTAGAGATCCCGGGAGGAGAGGACAAAAGTCTGGCATTCTCGGTGAAATAAGACCTTATAAAAATACATATTAGTAATTATGGGTTGATAATTAAGTCAGAGCTAGCCATTAAGAAACCATAGCAAACAACCAACAGCTTCATAATTAATATAGCATCCTGCCTATTCATTTGGGACTGACGTGGCTCTGGGACCAGGCTGGTGGGAAGAATGCATGCTACAGGTCCTGAAGTTGCATGCTAAGCATTTTACCCACTGAGTCATCCTTCCTGGAGATCCCAACACTGGTCCTGAAGTTGCATGCCAAGCACTTTGCCCACTGAGCCATCTTTCCTGCCCCTCAATGAGCTTAATGTGCATTTACACACAGTAGAGTGATGAAATCATCAACACTTTTTTTGGAACAAGTCCTAGTGGATCCTAGAAAACTCTGGGCTACATGGGCTACATGAGCAAATTAAGTCATCTCTTTCCTCTCCCTTTAGATACTAAAAAGCCAAAGAGGGCTATAGCTAGAGTGGGTTGACATGGATAAGGAAGTGAATATTTTCTGTCAGTGCCAAAAAGCCATCCAAATGTGGGTGCTGCTGGCTAGTAGTCACTTTAGACCACCATGAGAGGCTGTAGACATTGGATTATAATCATTCACTTCAAAAACTAGAGGGAAGTAGGAGCCTCCAAGACCCTTGTAGGAATCAAGAATGGCAGGACACCCCAGGGGAGCAGGCCTCTTTGTGTGGTAGAGCCCCCCTCCATGGGGCAGTTATGAAACAAGCATAACAATGCATCTGAAGGGTTCAAGAAGAATGTGACCCGAGGTCCTGTATGAGAGAGAGTATCAGCCAGGTTAACTACCTAAGTCTTCAAAAGTGGTCTTCTGATGCCCCATCAGACAAACTAGTCAAAACCTGGAGGTGGTAGACACCCCCAGCACACTAGACAGGGTTGCACTAGAGGGCGCATCAATCTCTTTATAATTCAAGGAGAACATTCCCATCTCCTTATTCCACCTTTGCTGTTTCATTAAACCAGGATTACTGTGTCTAAATTATCAGGACTAGAAGTCAGTTGGTTCTTCTGCTCCTTCATTGGTTCTTCAGTAGTGTTTATTAAGCTCCTACTCAGTGCTAGGACAATCCTGGGCACCAAGCAGGCAGAGTCCTTGGCATCATTTTGGGTAAGAAAATGAAGTATCTCCATTTCCCTAAGGAGAGAAGAGGGTGCACACACACACACACACGCACACACACACACACACACATACACACCACACCTCCCCCAACATGCATACATATAATGTATTCTATTATAAAAGTATATAAAGAGTACCTGCATGTCAATCATAAAAAACCTCAGTGTTAAAATGATCTAATGAATCATATTACAGAGTCACCATGTAGTGCACAAATTCATCAGTTACCAAAGAAATACAAAATAAAACCAAAACAAGATACCAATACCATCTAATGGCAGTTAAAGTATGTCTCCTATATTAATGTTTGCGTGCGTGGGTGTGTGTGTGTGTGTAAAAAGGAACAACTGTCTTACAAAATGAAATGTTTACCTCCACTATAGCCATTTACTCAAGAGAAATGAAGATGTGTGTCCTAAAAAAGACTTGTGCAAGAATGTTCTTAACAATTTTACTTGGCTAAAAACTGGAAAAGTTTGTCATCAATTAAAGAAAAGGCTCATACACCTGGAATAAAAACCCAGCTCAAATCAGTCTACAAAATGGAACACTATTAGAAGCTAAAATGATTTGGCTGGCAGATATGTGCAACATGGATGGAATGAATGGAAAGCCTTATGTCAACTCCAGGAAGTCTTAATGGAAGACTATATATGTGTGATTTCATTTATAGGAAGGCCCAAAGTAGGGGACACAAGCCAACCGTGTTAGAACAGCAGCTGCCTGTAGGGTGACTGCAATGCTTCTGACTTGATAGATGTTCATACTTTCTTTACTGAAGGCATGCATTTCACGATAGGTAAGGAAACAGGAAGCATGTAAGATTTAAGATGGGGGAACCACCTTGCTCCATGCTGATGTGTTGCTGGGAAAGGACTCAGTTTGTAATTACAGGACATTAGACTCTGGTATCCTTTCCACCGGTACACATGAGCTCCAAAGATTTACTTTGTCTCTTTTTGGCCCTGTTTTCTCTGTGTGTGGGCAGAAATCCAGAGTCAACTTAGGCTCTGTTAATGTTCTGTGTGTACTTTGACACCATACTGATGTCTTTCCCAAAGTTTTTTTTTTCCCTGTTTAAAACCAGGTCAGCAAAAGCCAGGTGTTGGTAGCGCACGCCTTTAATCCCAGCACTTGGGAGGCAGAGGCAGGCAGATCTCTGTGAGTTGGAAGCCAGCCTGGTCTACAGAGTGAGTTCCAGGACAGCCTCCAAAGCCACAGAGAAAAAAAAACCCAAAAAACAAAATGAACAAACAAACAAACAAAAAACAAACAGGTCAGCAATCTACAAGTAGAAACTGCTCTAAGGTGTCATTGTAGTTACTTATTTACTGTTTGTTTATTTAACTAACAGTGGTGGAACTTGAAACCAGGGCCTCACACATGCTGTCTGAGAACCCTGCAATTCAGCTGCAGTTTCCAGTTCTTTGAAAAGTTCGAAGCTTGCTGTGCAGTCTGAGGTGGCTTAGAACTTGTTATTCTCCTCCCAAGTAACTGGGGTTACCAGCATGTGCCACCATAACACACCTGGCTTTTAAAAGTTGCATCCTTCAAAAAAAAACTTTTATCGGTGTGTGTGTG